AGAGAAGCGTCCGAAAGAGTATTAAATGTCCCGTTTGTCTGGACGAGAGCACTGTTGTCAGTATACCATACCATACATTGCATGCATGCAATTGATCCCTAAGTATATAGTCTTTGGTTTGACTCATATTTTCTCTTTGATTATTAGTTTGAAGTGTCGGGACGACAGTTAGTGTCAACGGTTTGCGGTCATCTATTTTGTGATCGGTATGAATGGAGTGTTGCTTTTAATCCATTTATGACACTCATTGCCAATTGTTTTCATTGACCCGCAGTTGTATATCAGAAGTCATTCGGACGTCCAAAGCGTGTCCCAGTTGTAGGAAAAAGATCGCATCTAAGCGAGCATTTCATCCCATTTTTATTTAATTGTATTTAATTAAACTTTTCCACATTTTCTTGACTGTATTTTTTGTTATTAAACAACAATTATCCAAACAAATTCTTATGTAAAGTCATTTTAATTTCAATCTACTTATTGGTAGAATATACCATAAAATAATGTTCATTTTGTTAACTTTTGCTAATTCATTGAATAAACTATATATAAATCTATATACAGTTTATATAATGTCTGATATTAGTTTGAATGCATACAGTATCCAAATGATAAGTATTAACATTTATGCCATAGATTTGTTGATTCGATTGGTTAGAGATTACAAGAAATTGAAGTCCTCTTCGAATTGTAAATTTTATTTTGCAGTCTTTTGCAGTCTTTCCTAATCTTCAAGTGAATGATATATCAGTGTTGATGAGGTTTTTGCTCGCTTTGCAACAAATGATTCATTTATAAGTTATCTCCAAAACTGGTCGACCAGAAGTGAAGTGCATTTTCTTGGAGTTTATATTCGGAGACCTTTTCATTCACTTTAATGATTGAAAAATTGGTGAATTTTATGAAAATGAGTGTCAAATTGGGTTTGTTTGTAGTGCTCGCCGTTTATATATCATTCTCGGGTTCGGCTATGAGTCAGAGTAAGTCTAATTCATGGTATAAATGTAACTTGATTTCAAATTCAGGATCAAGGTTTGCATTTTATGATTAGCCATTGCCTTGGTTCAATGATTTTATTTAACAATTCCCTTTTGAAAATGTTCTGTAGTTCTAAAAAGTTTGGGTTTACTTTTACATTGACACATTTTGCTATTTTGCATTATTTTACATTACTATTGTGTATAGTGTATATTGTGTATACACTGTATACTGTATCACTTTATAAATTTAACATAGTTTTTATTATACAGGTATAAAATAAATTTAAGTAATTACCGGTAATATTCATCATAATAATACGAATCTCAGCTGGGAAATATTAGTGCATTAGAATCGCAGTTTTAGTCATCAAATTATCAGTATATCATTGTTTAATATAAAATAAAATGTTCAAATATTGTATGTCAAACTTGCTGTAATTATATTTTATTTAATACCCGTATTCTTAACGATATTGTATACGGTATTCGTTAGAAAAAAGTAAATGAAAGTTTGTCAAATCAATTTTGAGTGGTTAGCCTAAGGAATTCAAATGACTGTTTAGTTTCATTCATTAATCTCAAAATCTAATCGTATGATTTGGACATTACATTCAAATATAAAATGAAAAAATCAATCAAATATGATAAGCAAAACTGTCAAATCAATAAAAATTTCTTAATTTTATATTATCTCACGTACAGTATTTCTTAATGTACTGTATTTAAGAAACCAGATATTAATTGTCTATTAACTTTTTTGTTTAACATTGAAGTTTATTGCTTTACAAAAATTTAGGCAATGAATTACCGGTTAAATCAAATCGTTTTGAAATGAAGTCCGAATGTATGCGAGAACTGAATTATCAAATCAATTCAGAATTGTATGCGAGTCTCGTTTACATGAATATGGTATCAAAATACTAACACTAAACCATTTGATGGTAAAATTTAATCCTTGTTTAATATGTACGGAAAGGGTGCCTATTTTGATGGCAATAAAGTGGCGCGAAAGGGGTTCTCAAAGTTCTTCTCGGATCAGTCCCGGGAGGAAAAGGAGCATGCTCATAAACTCATTGACTACCTTAACAAGAGAGGTGCTAATGTTAACATTCTCGATGTCAAGGTATTTATTGTATTCTGTTTATCACTTGGATTTTATTGTATAGTATTTTAACTCTCATTTGTAACCATTGGTTCAGATGCCGGTCAAGAATACATGGAATGGTCCCAAACAGGCCCTCGAAGATGCCATTCAATTGGAGAATGAAATCAATGATTATATCCATAAAATACACGGAATCGCTGAACACACATGCCTTGACCCACACGTAATCATTAACTCATAAAAATGAGAACAATTTTGATGAAACTTTTTTGAATTCAAAAGTTAATGGATTTCCTTGAGAGCGAGTATTTGGAGGAACAAATGACTTCAATAAACCAATTGACAAGACTTCACACAATACTGAGCCAAATGCAAAGCGGTGTCGGAGAGTATCTGTTGGACAGACAACTTCTTGAGGGCAAAGTGGAGCCAAAAGATCTTTAAATATTTCAAATACTCAATAATTTGAAACTCATTTTCATTGAAATTCTGAATCAAATGTGTTGACAAATATGTAACAAAATATTTTTATTAAACTTATATAAATTTATAACAATCTGTAGATTAGAATATAAATAAAATAATTCGATAAATATGTTGGATGTGATGAGTGATGATTACCAGACAACCCAAGGAGGCTGTCGTATCTTCGATGGCAAGTGACTAATATTAATGGGAATATTAACGACGGCTCGATTCAGACGCAACGCATCCAATGCCCGTCTAATCATATGCCCGTCTTTTCCTATTATTTATAGAAAGCAATTGTAGTTAAAGTTTCATAAAGAGGATTACAATCAATATTTTCAAACAAAATAAAGACTAAAATATTAAATTCAAAGCAACTCTATTTGAACTGAAGTTAAATGAGATTTCATGAGAATTGATACCCAAGAGAAAGGCGGCCGGAATGGAACAGTTGCGCGAAGAGGTGTCGGCCACCATCTCGATGTAGAGGTCATCGTTGTGGTCGTTGTTGTCGTATATGATTACTCCAATCATTTCGCTCTTTTCGGCGACAATGCATTTGTCCAGAAATGAACAGCCGCTGAGACATACATGAGATGATCAATACAAGTGGACAACTAATGGACAACTCGTGTCATGACTCGTGATTTACAGCACTATTTAATTACTGACTAAACTGTTCACTACATTTTGATTAAAATGTATAGATTTATCAGATTATAATACTCGTATTAAGGTACTGTTAATCCATGCAAACTATAATAGTTGTACAGTATATTGTACTGTAATACAGTAACTGTATTCTGTATATTATGGGCAAATTTGTTTTAATTGCTTATAGATTTGTTTACAATATAAAGTATAAAAAATAAATACAAACAAACAGTTTATGTAAAGTATGGACACGTTTTCATCAATTAATGAGTGGCGAAGAAGTAATGAAACAATTGATACCCCCTTTCGATGAGTCCAATGTTGCGGAATAACTCAAATCTATTGACTACTGAAGTGCACGAGTCGTTTGGCTCAACGATCACAAGATTTATGTTTGAATACCTCTTGTCCTGTCATCACATTCATAGCAATCATTAATACGTGAATCCATTTAAAGGCAAATCAATTCATACGAAATCAGTGCCGAAGTCCTGTGCCATACGAGCTCTATATGTGTAGCGAAGGCTTTCGGGCTCAACGATCTCGAAGTGGATGTCCTCTCTGGCCGTCAAAGAAGTCAATACGTTCTCTACGAAGACATTGATTCAGTGGTCATATTGTATAACAACTCATCTCTCAATACCTGTCATTGTGGCCAACATTTGAAGCAAAATCAAGTAAACTATCAAATGGTTAAAGGATTTGAGTGAAAGTCTATTTAGTAATGATTTCATTTGTTTTAAACTTTCAGACAATTAATGCAAATATTGAGCCAAACTTCATATTATTCACTATTTATCACAAGTCAGTCATTATTTACTAATTGCTATTCAAACTAATTTCACACAAACTTTGTAAACATTGTGTTTTCATTGCTATCTCAATATTATTTCATATCAATATCATTGGTGTAGTTGCTGGCAGTATGTTATAGGTTATAAGCAGGCTCACTTGTCGATCACAATCAAATATAACGTATATTAGTTAGCGTTCATTGCGATTATATTCAGTCATTTCAATCAAATCCAATTGCAATCAAAGTGTCATTGCTTTCAATGCAATCCGTGTGTGCTTTCAGTGCAGAGATGCCGTAATTTATGCGAAAAATTTCGGTTAAAAATTCAATTTTCAATTGAAGTCACATTTGATTCACAAGTCATTGATTGCATGAAAGCATCGATTGGCTGAACAGTGGCTGTAATTGTCTCGTGATTTGTGGTGAATTGCATTGAAATGACACTAATGTCTGGCACCGAGAGTCCCAATGAGTTCAAGTTAGACAGTGTGGCCACCGATTGCATCCAATCTCTCAAATTCGGGAACCACTCCAACCATCTGCTGCTGTCGTCTTCGTGGGACTGTTCCGTACGACTGCACGACATCTCATCCAACACTCTGAGAGTCAAATACACGCAGTCGGCGCCTGTCCTCGACTCGGCCTTCCAGGTGCTCATCACCACCACTACATCCATCACATCCACTATCCACTCACTCATGTCTAATGGTTTGTCTCTATACTGCTATACAGGACTCGCATCGCGTGTGGAGCGGAGGGTTTGAGCAAAACGTGAAGGTCTATGACCTGAACGCGAGTACAGAAACCATAGTTGGCTCACATGTCGGGCCCATTCGGTGCGTGGAGTCGAGCCCTGAGGTGAATGCGGTGGTGACGGGCGGGTGGGACGCCTACGTGAAGCTATGGGACCCGCGCGCCCCCTCAGCCATCGGCGCCTACCAACAGCCCGACAAAGTGTATACAATGGCTGTCTGTGGCGACAAAGTAGTGGTGGGAACGGCTGGGCGCCGGGTCCTGGTGTGGGATCTCCGGAATATGGCTTATGTTCAACAGAGACGCGAATCGAGTCTCAAATACCAAACCCGTTGTATCCGATGTTTCCCTAATAAACAGGGATACGTCTTGAGCTCCATTGAGGGCAGGGTTGCCGTCGAATATCTCGATCCCAGTCCCGAAGTGCAGCGCAAGAAGTATGCGTTCAAATGTCACCGAAATAAAGACAATACGAGTGGTATTGAAGTGATATATCCGGTGAATGCCATCAGTTTCCACAGCGGGTACAACACGTTCGCGACGGGAGGTTCGGACGGTTACGTCAACATATGGGACGGCTTTAATAAGAAGCGTTTGTGTCAGTTCCACAAATACCCGTCCAGTATATCCTCCCTCTGCTTCTCACCCGACGGCACATATCTGGCCATCGCTTCCTCTTTCCTCTACGAGACGGAGGAGACGCGAGACATCCCTCCCGACGCCATATTCATCAGGAGAGTCACCGACCAGGAGACCAAACCCAAGTGATCACTCCATCCACACACCAATCGATACAATCACTTCATTTCACGCCAATTACTAAACCTTTTTTGAAATCAACTCTCATTTATATCCCATTCCCGCACTTTTATACGGCATACCGTTTACTGTTAGTGAAAGGAACTACAGTATGAATTGTCGTTAATTTAGATACAGTAGTTTGCGCTCAAAAAGAACCAGGCTCTATTTATTGTAAAAACTTTTTTATTTATGTATGAATTAATTACTTAAAAGTAAATCAAATGTTTTCGTGGTTTTAATGAAAATT